AGGTTTCAGGGGAAATGTATCGGAGTCAAAGTATCAGTTTTCTTTGCAAGATGTAGTGAAGTAAAAGTAAAAGTCAACAGAAATATAAGTAGTAAAGTAAAGGACAGATATCCAAAAAAAACGACTTAAGTACAGTAACGAAGTATTTCTACTTCGTTACTGGTCAGAGCCATGCTGTGCTTGGTCTCTATATATTCTTTACAGGGTCTCTTATCAGCTCACTTCTCATCTTGATCTGTTGAACTATCTCCAGCAGCTCCATTTCTGTGGGCATGTATCCCATTGTCCGCATGCATTCAGCCACATCCTTGTAGTTCAGGTATCCATCTTGATCGTAGTCAAACTCTTTGAAGGCCTCTTGCAACTCTGTCAGAAAGGTCAGGGGTCATGAAGAGATTAGAACAGTTCCAGAAGTGGTTTATCGGATCAAATAATGACTTATATTATTAATCAAGATGGAACTATTGGCATGTTAATAACTGCAATGACTGTAACCTACTATAACGTGGACACTGAGTTGTGTCAGTGACACTTACCGTCCAACTCACCCTGAGCTAATTCTCTCTCCTGCAGAAACAGATGCAAAAGAGCACATGTTGAACTGTTAATCCATTTTTTTTATTATTTTGCGAAACAAAAATGTGAACTGTGCAAATGGTACCAAAACACCTTGGCACAAACTTCTAATTAAATGCAAGTGTTGATTTTAATGTCAAGGATTTGTGAGCACTTAGCAATTCATTAGCATGTGTATTATGCATGTTAATGTCAGAAGTGTACATGAGAAAATGACAGAAGGCATAGAGGACAATTCCCAGGTATGACCAGGTTTATAAATCAGTTTCCATGTGTTTAATGGAAAAGGTAAACCCAGTATTTTGGCAGTGCTCGTTATTTGGATAACCCTAATGCAGTGTGGCAGTGAGCTTCAACTAATCAGCCAGTAAAGCTGCAGACACACCAGGCTTAGTAACAGCAGCTTGAGAACACTGTGAGCACACTGCCTGACTTCTACTTCACTTCTGATGTTATAATGTCTGACTTACTGTGCCTTTAACTGGAAATGAGCATCCACTGTATTTTGTAGATCTCAATCATTGTATTTATTGGTTTTAAATTACTCCCAAGCCTTTCTCAGTCTGTGGCTGTGGGAAAACACACATTTTATTGAATAAAAGTGTGTCTAAATGTTGCAGGAATGGGGAAACTGGTGTTGAAAGTAAAAAGCTGTAATTTAAACTGTTTGAAGAGTACAGGTCAAAGGTCACAACAGCCACGAAGAAGATGGTCACCTCTAGTTCAACTATACAGATTAAATCACAAAATGTGGGTGTTAGCTATACTTACCGCCCCAAAAACACTGTTGAGCACAGAGTTGTAGACTATGGTCATGTCAGTGGTTTTCTTGGACTTCTTTGATGATTTTTTGGGTGTTTCTGAGACTGAACCCGACGGGGATTCATCTTTGGCACTACACGGACAAATCAAACAATAAATAGCAAAAGGGCAAATGCAAATGCTTGCATGTCATTTGAGATTTGAAGACACCTTGATTACACAGTGAAAACTCTTCTCAACCACTCAATACATGTTAGCAGAGTTGGCATTGCTTCAGACCAGGAAGACACACTTGACATGTGTTTTTCCCTGGGTTGTATATTCGGTGGTAGGTCGACTAAGTATTACATTGGGGCTGTGCGAAGGCTGTCCGTCACACTCACGATCTGAACATGTGGGCTACTGTGAGAACCGTACATCTAAACGTACCTGTCTGTTGCGGCTGAGTCGACAGAAGTGGAAGAGGGTGTCCTCTCTCCTGCGGTGGGCATGCTGTGGATAAACAAAGTCATGGGCCTACAGTTACAGTATATACATGAACGTTAGATATTATAAATGCTTTATGGGAAACGTAATTTCTTTGGTTTCACTGCAAATCTTTGATCTCCAACATCTTAATTATAAATCCAGTTACTTCACTGCAATTTGCTTACCTTAGCTCCCTCTCCTAAATGGTGAGAAAAGAAAACAACAAGACGTCGAGCCCTTCTTGTCCTCCTTGAGTGGTGCTCCACTTGTGTTGTGAATGGCTGCGCACTATCCTGTCTGTTCTGTTCTTCCCTTCCAGTCTTGACCTCCTTCAGTCGCAGAGGCTTAACAGGTAATACCTGGCTAAACTTGCAGCCAACGATTAGAAAGCAAAACGTGTAGCAGCAGTGTGACTGATGTGTCCTTCAAGAGGTCAATTTCCTCTGGTTTAAACCCCAGCTTAAAATGTCTTTATTTGGAGGCTGTTGCAAATGCAATGAGTCTCTTCATTTCCGTGTTTTCACATTGGCCCTTTAGCCTTGTAGAGTTGCTCCTGGCTCTGCAGTTATAAAGTGTTTTCAGGTGGGCTGGTGACATCATTGTTCATATTGTGTTGGAATAATCATTGTGGCTTCAGAACTTATAAGGGCACAATAACAGACTGGAAATGTTATATACAAACACGATATTTGATCACACGTATGAGTTCATGCCAATCCATGCTTTTCATCCTACAGGATAGATATTGATAGATATTGTTGGGTCCAGCGGTGACTAACGCAAGCGTTGCAATACAGAGATGTCCTATGGGTAGGTTTGTTGTTGGTTGTATTGTTTACTGGCTCATCACCTCCTCCAGCTCACAATGCAGTCTGCTAGACAGACTATGACAGACTAGTGTACCATATCTAACCGTATATGTAATTTATAGGACGAGAACATTTAGCAACAACCGGCTTATGTAAAGGCACATCGTTGACTCTTATCATTTAATTTAATTGTTGCAATTTTTATTTTTAATTTTGTGGCACAAAGTTTGTTTAACAATCTTATTGTTGGTTTTAAATATGTGTAGTTCATTGTTTTTATACCGGTAGGCTAGTTTATACTAGATCCCGGTAATTTGCATACTGGCAGATCTGCACACGTGTATTTCGTCAGTAGTTAATTAAGAAGTGTTTTCCTTATTTCGGCGCTTGCCCGCTACCTTTGCGCGACACAGGCAATGTAAACATAACTCTATTAGTAAATATATGAGCTCTATATTATATTTATGAAGACCTTTGTGGAATATGTCGGGCTCTGCAGCAGGAATGACCTTCATTTGGCTTGGAGACAATTTATTTCGAGTTTCGGGGACGAGATGTTGTGTCATCAATGGCGCAGGTCGGCCCTCGCCTGTCTTCATCTCAGGTGAGCTTTCTGGATGTAAAAGTTTACAAACTTTTGTAGCTTATTAATGTCACTTCTTTAAAACACATTTGTGTGGATACAGTTGCAGCTGAAGGTGAAAAAACATGACTTTTCAGAGTAGGTTAATGGTAATTGATATTAAATTGACAAAATAACATTAATTAATAACATTTGTGGCTTATTATCAGTCATCGAACTGTCGTTCAAAAACAATTGAGCAAATGTAGCTGTTTAAAGTGGCATTAAATGAGGTGTGGGCTCGTTCATTTCTGTTTTCCACCAGATGGCGCCAAAGCTCATTATGTGATCACCTTATTAAATTACTTTCATGTGGCATCGTCGCAGTATTTTGTCGCTTTGGTTTGTTTGGTATGTTTTATTATTCCGTCTTTAGCGGTGAAGGCTCTCATAGGCTGTCTTTCATCGCTCATTACAAAGAAGTAGTGCCTGGCATTTCGTTTGTTGACAAGAGAACATACTAAGTAAAAATGGGACAAATAACGAGGCGTGTTTTGGTCCTGCTGGATGTTCAGTAGCCTACAGTACTAAAAAAACTGCTGAATCTGTTAATTTGGATTCATTTCGGCTTCTCTTTGGGACGTTACAGATTCATAACTACCTATGTAATGATATACTGTAGTTTTCAGTGTTTGGTATATCACGGTACACTTGCTCCTGTAGTCGATAAGTGACGTGAAAGCAAAGACTGGAACCCACATATGTTTACGCTACATTTATAACAAGTGATACTTAAGGAATAAAACAAAACATACAGTAGTTTATTGGAGCGCCAATGTATTCGTTCGCAAAAGTGAAAAACAAAACATTTCCAGAAGTAACTTGCCGCTTGACATTCAAACTGTGCCGCAAAGCATGATGGGAAAGTGCAATAATACTCCAGTCATGTCAACGTTTTTTTTTTAAATTATGTTATTCCACTGCTGCACGAGTTTCGTGTCTTTTAATCATCATGCATAACCTAAAACGTTATCGATATTTTCTTCTCTACAGCGTGACTCTGCCTCGTATGTAGCTGGATCACTTCCCTCTGTCGAACATGTACAACTCATACTTACCTGGCAGGGGAGATACCATGATCATGAAGGTGGTTCACCCAAGGCGAGGCTTGGCCATTGCACATTCGGCTGAGCTGACCTTTGCGAATTTCTCAAATGTAGAAATCTCGATTGCATAATTTGTGGTAGTAGGGGACTGCGTCCGCGCTCTCCCCTGATGTCTTTGTTCAATATAAAGTTATATCTGTATTACTAAACCACAGTGGTGTATAAAGTACCCAAAAGCCATACTTGAGTAAAAGTAAAGATACCTTACTGGAAAATGACTCCAGTAAAAGTAAAAGTCACCTATTAGAATACTACTTGAGTAAAAGTCTTAAAGTATCTGATATTTATTGTACTTAAGTATCAAAAGTAATTTTGCAAATGCATAATATTGTGTTCAGCAAAAAATATCCACTTGATGCATCAGGTCAGTGT